TTGCTGTAAATGTGGCAAAGGAGAACACAAGGAGGGCATTAAAAAAAAAAGGCACAGTAAAAGAGCGATGAGGGAGACCCTGTTAGCCATTCCCAGATACATGCGGGTTAGAATTTACTGATGGGAAGACTTCCTATATGTCTAGCCTGGAGTGGGAGAGATGGCTTAAGGGGCAATTTATTCTGCCTTTCCTCTACACCCCACCTCTAAGCAATCAGCCCAGAGGAAGACATGGTTCTCTAGCTAGGTTTTAGAGCAAGTCATTAAGTCTGCCATGTTCTACAGATCCTTGAAGTCGCTGAAGATGATCTATCTATGTAGAATACAATCTCTATGTATCTAAAGAACCTAATTAATCTGACTATATATATAATAAGCATGAGTGACGATTGGCTTATAATACTTAATACCTGTATAACTTAAAGACTAAGACTTTATATCAGAATATTAAACAGTCTTTAAACAGCTGTTCTGAAAAGGAGGACAATGACCTCAAAATGTAAACAATGTATAAGTATCTTGATCAGAGGTAGAAATGTATATTGCAATATGATAAATACATCCTAAAAATTGTATCAATATACAAAATGTCTTAAACAGAGGTAGAAACATTCATGTATACAATCTGACAAAATAACTTTGTATAGGTGTATAAATATTGTAAACAGAAATAACAGATATAATTTGAACTTGTATCAATATACAAGAAACTATACCAATGTAAATCATCCATAATAGCTCACAAGTATTTACTCTATTATTCGTTGTTATTATTATTAGTGTGAGTAAGCTCACACTAAATTATGAACTCCAAATTCTCATCTAACAAACTGAGATCCAGATCGCCTAGTTGGATCCCAAGATGTAATGGTTCTTTCCACCACTCACAGATGCAAAAATGTTTGAAATGCAAAAAATGTTGAAATCTGAATATTGAAAGAATTCTGGATATTTTGTTTCTTCAGATTTTTGGAATAATGTTTTCACTTTTAATTTTCATGTTTATCCTCATTAAATGAAAGCCATTACCCTCCTCAGTAGGAAGCTAGGAACTGACTAAAATGAAAAGTGTGGAGTGGAAAAATTGCCATTGAATATCCTATGTCAGCAGAGTGCCTGGAATTTGGAACTGGTCCTTAGAGCAAATCATTCTTAATGGTTTCCTCCCTGGAAGTTGCATGATTTTGATAAGGATGAGTCAGGAGCCTCTAAACACTAACTCATCTATGATTCAATCATGGGTGATATTTCAGCTTTGCTCATTTGAGTGCTTAGTTAGGGGTTCTGTTTCCATGAAGAGACACCATGACCGCAGCAACTTTTATAAAGGAAAAGTTCAATTGGGTGGCTTACAGTTTCAGAGGTTTAAACCATTACTGTCATGGTGCAACATGGTGACATGCTGGTAGGCAGTGCTGGAGAAGGAGCTGAGTGTTTTACATCTTGGTCTGGAGGCAACAGGAAGTGAACTGTGAGACTGGAGGCAGCTTGCACATCGGAGACCTCAAAGCCCACCCACACAGTGACTTACTTCCTCTAACAAGGCCATACCTGCTAATAGTGCCGCTACCTTTGGGGGCCATTTTTCTTTTAAACTACCACAAATACTTAAAGGATATTTTAAAGGAAAAACTTATTTTGCTTAGGTGGCAACAGTGGTAAAGGAAAAAAAAAAAGACTTCCCCATGCTATTTTCAAAACCGATCTGTGGCTACTCATTTCTTGTTGCACAAACTGTTCTGCTAGTCCCATTATGTCAGGGGTCATATATCATGTTTTCATTAAAATAGATTTAAAATTGAAAAGTAAAAACAAAGCGTCACACTTGTCAAACTGTGCCTTTCGGGAAACTCGCAAGGAGAAAACACAGTAAATTTGACTAATGTTTTGAGCCATTGAAGTGAAATCGTAGAATAATGAGCTACACGAAAACATCTAACCCCCCCCCCTTTTTAATTTCCAAGTGTCTTTTCAGTTTCCCTGTTGTTTACTTAAAGTCTTGGTCTCGCTAGCAGGCAGTCTGGATTTGTCTTGCCTTGATTTCCAGCCGCATGACTTTGAGCCTGTCAGTTTCTTCATATGTTCATTAGGGATAAAAGTGGTACCTCTGCCCCTATGGAAAAGCAAAAGGCACAGATGATAGCCTCGTAGTCTACAGAAGTTTCACGAGTGTTGAAATAAGACTATGGAAAGCACTTGATACATATGCAGAAGCAATGTGGCAACGGCTCATCACATGTTCGTAAGAGCTATCATCTATGTGATTTGCTGATCAATGGCAGCTGAAGTTGGGATCTGGGGTAAGACAGTTCTAGCATCCAGCTCTTAAAAATGTTTTCTTTTGGGGCTGGAGAGATGGCTCAGAGGTTAAGAGCATTGCCTGCTCTTCCAAAGGTCCTGAGTTCAATTCCCAGCAACCACATGGTGGCTCACAACCATCTGTAATGAGGTCTGGTGCCCTCTTCTGGCCTGCAGGCATACATGTAAACAGAACACTGTATACATAATAAATAAATAAAATCTCAAAAAAAGAAAGGAAAAAAATGTTTTCTTTTGCATTTATTATTTATTTATTTTAAAGATTTATTTATTTTTCTTTTTTATTTTCTTTCTTTATTCTGTCTCTGTCGCTTTCTCTCTCTCTCTCCTGGAACTCATTCTGTAGATCAGACTGGACTAGAACTAACAGACATTCATCTGCCTCTGCCTTATGAGTGTTGGGACTAAAGGCATGAGCTAACACACCTTGTTTAAAGATCTATTTCTAAGTGTGTGTGTGTGTGTGTGTGTGTGTTGCATGTGGGTAGGTGGACATAAACACATGGCTTGAGGAGGTTAGAGGAATTGGGTTTCCTGGAGCTGGAGCTACAGAAAGTTGTCAGCCACTTGATATGGGTGCTGGAAACCAAGCTCTGGTTCTCTCCTTAACTGCTGAGCTATCTCTCCAGCCCATTTATCTATCTATCTATTGGTCTATCTATCTATCTATCTATCTATCTATCTATCTATCTATCTATCTATCTATCTATCTATCTATCTAATCTATTTATGTATCTATGAATCCATCCATCCATCCATCTATTTATATGTGATTGCTTATGGGAGCACACACACAGTGTGTGTATATGTCTCTGTGTATAAACATGTATCATGGTGCGTGAAGGCCAGAGGACTTGGTGGAGCCAGTTCTCTCCTTTTACCATGAGGGTTCCTGAGGCTGAACTCAGGCCCTTGCCTGGCATAAGCGCATTATTGCCTGCTGAGCCATCTCCCTGGCACCCAGGAATAGCTTGTCAGCCAATGACTCTGTGTGGCATTTTGTCCTTTACCGGACCTCTGCTTTAGTTCTGAGTAATATACAGTAACAGTACCAGGCTCACTGTGTTGTCACAAGCAAAGCACCTACCACATCCTTTCCCACCATCTGACCACAAGGGGCCACAGCAAGTTTCAAGAGAAAACAGTACCTTCTCTCTAGCGAGCAAGGATAACATCCAACAAAATGAAGCCAGCCACACACAATGAATCGCTGATGACACATGCAGATAAGGCAACTCTCTCATCCATGCCCATTTATATTTTCCCTAGTGTGGATGTGGAGGAATTTTCAATGAGAGCCTTTTTCTGGTGTTTGCTCAAGTCAGCAGATCTCACAAGCCCAACTAAAATTCAGGCCGATTAAAGACGCTACAAAAAACTGCAAAAGTCACAAGGTATTCTGTGGTTCAGAAATTAGGATAAAACAAACCTTCTGGATCTGTTCCAAGGATGGGTATCACTCTCTCACCGGAGGTAAGGCAAGAGGATGAAATATCCTGGATTGGGACAGAAATCTCAACCAAAGCTCTTCTTCGGAGCATCAGGTTCTCCACCACCTCCTAGTGGGAGATTTTCCTCAAGTTTGATCCCTGAGTGGGGCTCCAGGCACAGAAGGCGCCTCAACAGCCAGCAGAGTGATCTCCAGTACTCAGACAGTTAAACCTCGTACAGGAGGAGACGGGAGAAGTGAACAGAAGGGAGGGAGGGGAGAAGAGAGCAGAGAGGAGGGAACCGAGAGGAGGGAGAGAGGACGCAGAGCTGGGAAGGAGGGAGGAGAGCGGAGGGAGCACGAAGGAGGGAGCAGGAGAGCCCCGCCCACTGGCACGGGGCTGGCCCCCCACCCTTGCCCCCACCCCCGCCCCTCGGCGGGCCCCCGGCCGCACCTGCCGCGCGCACACGCCCCCCGCGCGCCGAGCCGCCGAGCCTCCGTCGCCGCCCTCCGCTCGCACCCGCGGCGGCTCGCTCGCACAGCCCAGCCTCGGCGCGGGCCGCAGCCACCACAGCCGCTGCCGCCGTCGCCATCGCCGCCGCCGCGGAACCGCCGAGCCCGCCCGGTGCGGAACCCAGGCGAGTTCAGGCTGGGCACTCGGGCGGGCGGGCGGGCGCACGAGTCTTCGCCGCGGTCGCTCTAACGCTCCAGCCCCCCGGGAGGACGCGCTCGACTGTTCCTGCGGCCGCTCGTCCGCGCTCAGGGTTCTCCTCGGTGCGGAGCATTCTTCCCAGTGCGGAGCATCGTCCTTCTGGGCGCCCGAGCATCCTGCTCAGAGCTCAGCATCCTCTTCCCTGTGCATCCTCCCTTAGTGCATGCTCGGCATCTTCCTCAGAGCTCAGCGTCCTCCTTTCGTTCCTCAGCGGCACCCGGGGCCCGGTCCCCACCCGCTCGCACCCCACCCCGCGGGAAGGAGGCCTCAGGAATGCAGGGGAGTGGCTGTGGGGGCGCGTCGCCGCTCGGCCAGCCCCTCTACCCAAACACGGGCTGCTCCCCATTGTAGAAGCTGCACCGTGTGACAGACAGGAGGACAGCGTGCAGCTCCCGGCGCGGGGCTGCTGCGGGGATCATAGCGTGCTCAAGCCCTGGCATCCTCTTAGGGTGGGGCGGGGAGGGCCCTGGCTTTTAGAGAGTGGACCCGGAGGAGGACCAGAGCACGGAAAGGACTCTGTAAGGGGACTCGTGAGAGACTATGGGGAAGGACCAGGAGCTGCTGGAAGCTGCTCGCACTGGCAATGTGGCTCTGGTGGAGAAACTCCTATCTGGCAGGAAAGGAGGGATCCTGGGCGGTGGATCCGGACCTCTGCCCCTGTCTAATCTGCTAAGGTAAGAATTGGCACCCACTCTGTGTGTGTGTGTGTGTGTGTGTGTACCCGCGTTAGCGTTGTATGGGTACGTTCTCCCCTCGGGGTATTGCACCTGGAGGTGTCAGCGATTCATTCTTAAATTAGGCAGGAAAACAGACCTTGTGTGTGGAGAGGAAGAGCCTCCCAGCCAGACTGAGGCTTTAGACTCTTGGAGTAATTTTAAAATAGCTAGCTCTCCATCAATGCGTCCATCAGCTACTTTTCTCTGAGCTCTGGTGCAGAACTTGTACGTGTACTGGTGTTGCTAGAAGAAAATCCCGCATGTCCGGCACTGTTTGCGTTTGCAGCCCTGAAGCCCACCCCTACCATTGGGCTATTTACACGAGAGGCTGTTGGCTGCACGCAGTTATCCTGCCAAAGCCACAGCCTCCGTGGGTTGCTGCTACTTTCTGGTACAGAAGACATTGGCAGTGGGTTATGATCCCACAAAACAAAGACAGTGAACCTTCTGAGGAGCTGTCAGTCAGGCAGGGGAGCATGTAAATCTTGAGGCTGGCTTGGCAGCCAGCGTTAGCAGTACTTTCTTTCAGTTATCCTGACTTACCTGAGTGAAACTCAGGATGCAGGGAAGTCTGGCTTGGGAAAGAAAGTGTGTGTGGAACCCAGCAGAGGCCTTTAGAAGATGAACTGTGGCAGGTAAGACGGCTGTTGCTTAGAGAATCTTTCTAAGGTGACAGTTAAAAAGAAAGTCTGGATCTTTATTCAGCAAATATAAGTAAGAGATAGCTGGTTTCATTTGCATATTTGAGAAACTATTAAAAGTTGAATTAAACGAATGAAATCACTGAGGAGGAAGGAAACCTGAAAAAGCACTCACTAGATGAAATTCAAAGAAAACTCTTTAGTTCTCAGGTCGTGGTTATTCAGTTTGTCTTGCACATGTTTTGGAAGCCTCTGTCATCGTTCATATCTTTACCTTAAAATATCTCTTAGGCAACCCAATGATGCTTATTGAAAAATCTTAAAAGCTGAACTGATTTTCTTGCTTAAAAGTATTTTGTATGACTGTTCATAAAAATGAAAAGGATTACATTTATTTGGTGTGTGTGTGTGTGTGTGTGTGTGTGCGCGTGCGCTGGGCAGTGCATGCCATGTAGCCTATGCAGAAATCAGAGGGCAACTTGTGAGAGTCTGTTCTGTCCTTCACCATGTGGATTCAAGAAATGGTACAGTTCTCAGGTTTGAGAGCAAGCACTTCACCCTCTGAACCAGGGGTTCTCAACCTCCCTAATGCTGCAATCCTTTAATCCAGGTCCTTATGTTGTGGTGACCCCCAACCACAAAGCTATTTTTGTTACTACTTTCTAACTGTAATTTTGCTACTGTTTTGAGTTTTAATGTAAATAATATCTATGTTCCTGATGGTCCTAGGTGACCCCTGTGAGAGGGTCATTCGACTCCCAAAGGGGTCACCCATGTGTTGAGAAATGCTTCTCTGAACCCTTGTGCTGATCTTGATAAGTGTTTGATACAAACTTTTTTTTTAAATGTTTTTCTTTTTTTTTAATATTTATTTATTATGTATACAATATTCTGTCTGTATGCCTGAAGGCCAGAAGAGGGCACCAGACTCCATTACCGATGGTTGTGAGCCACCATGCGGTTGCTGGGAATTGAACTCAGGACCTTTGGAAGAGCAGGCAATGCTCTTAACCTCTGAGCCATCTCTCCAGCCCCTGATACAAACTTTTGCATGAAAATGTGTTACATACATAGGTTCTCATAGGTCGTGATCAGACAGTCCAATAAATTACCATAGTGGTGAGAGGGAAAAGGAGAAGTTTACATTACAGTGAAATGAGAGGAATTAAAAATAGTGAGATTTAAAGATCCATATACTATTATATATACTTGGCGACAGTGACGCCATTGGAATATTTCATTTCAGAATAATGATTATTTACAGAAGTTTTTTTCTCCATGTGGGCCTTAGAAAAGATGGCTGTTCTGTGTACTTTCTTTCATTTTCAAACACAAGTGGATATTATACATATTTTAGCCTACAGTTTTAATATTTACCCCTAGGTAGTTTATGGAAAAGAAGTGCAGTGACAGTTTTAAGTTATAAGTGAAAAAGTGTATTTGCAAAGGCACCCAGTCCATCAATTATAAATTTATTCTGGTGCTATGCTAAACCAAATTCCTCAAAATTAGTATCTTTGGAAACATGAGAATTTATTCATAATAAGAAATTTAGTTAATTTCATTGACACAATGGATACAAATGGTACACTCCTCAGTTTTGAACACTCCTCAGTTGTGCTATCTTTGAAACAAAAATAGATGACACATTTTAGGGATAAAACACCAAGTGTTTAATGTTAGTAAATACTTAAGTAGCAAAAGCATGATCCAGAGTGTTCAGCTAGAGTGAGTTTTCTTTATTATGGTTTTGTTGGCTGGTTCTGGTGGTTCTACAGGAGCACACATTGAAAAAAAGTTGTAAAACCAGTACCCTTCAGACTTACATTTACCTGTCTCACACTGAATTAGCCACTAAAACATGCCTTTAAAGAGAATGGAGCCAAGTAGTGGCGCAGACCAGCACCCGGGAGGCAGAGGCAGGTGGATCTCTATGAGTTTGAGGACAGCCTGATCTACAAAGAAAATTCCAGGACAGTTGGACGCTCCCCTCCCCTCCCCAGAGAGAGAGGGAGAGGGAGAGGGAGAGGGGGAGGGGGAGGGGGAGGGGGAGGGGGAGAGGGAGAGGGAGAGGGAATAAAGAAAGGAAATGGGAGTTGAATTTTATTTAGATGATCTTTTGCATAAAATGGAATTTCAAAGACATATTTTATGTGGCTATCACTTTATTTCACTAATGATTGTCAATCAGAAACTTGTAGGGTAATAAGAGGTGTGTTCTTCTCCAGCAATCACTTTGAATAATGGCACTTTGAAATATCCTAATGTTTTGGGCTGAATTGTGGATTAGGTTAATCAGTCTTTTCTGCCTGCTTTATTCCTTGTGTAGTGTAGCAGTTGTGTCTGATTGGGGTAAATGCTTGCACGTCTCATCCGGAGGTCAATACTCATTTCACAGATGAAAGGCTAAAGAGACATTGGAAGATTAATAACTTGTCCAAGGTCACTTAATTAGCAATGACAAGGGTTTGAAACTCCAGTTTGCTTTACTGATCTTCAGTTATATGCCTGAATTTATTTTGCTTCCAAAGTTTAAGGTATATGGTCAATTTAGACAATACAATGATTTTTAGCTGGAAATAAATAATGCATTTATTTTGCTAAGAAAAAAATCCATTGACTGCTCGTTTGAGACCTAATTAGATAAAAATTTGCAGAAGATGCTTCTGTTTGTGTGTGGTTTACTACATGAGCTGTGGCTGTGTAGTGGGGTGTGCTTGAGGGACAGTGTAGTTTTCAGTGCACAGAAGAATGCCCTTAAATGGCTACAAAGAGTCACATTGCAAAATGTGGTGAGCTGGAAAAAGTAACAGTATCTAGGGTTTTGTTAAGGAAATAGTAATAGTAACTAGGGTTTTGTTACTAGGAAATAGTAATAGTAACCAGAGTTTTGTTAAGGAAATAGTAATAGTATCTCTCCCTAGGGTTTTGTTGAGGAAATAATAATGGTATCTGTTGCTAGGGTTTTGTTAAGGACTAAATGATGTAAAAAGTAATAAGTGAAAAGCATTGACTACATAGGTGTTCACCGTTAGTGTTAGGATTCCTCTCATTGCTCTAAGGTATATGAGACTCTGTGGACTTGATTTCTTATGGTAGTAAATTACCATAGTAAACTTTTCACTGGGATCAGAATCTTTAAGCACAAAGAGACCTTTAATCCAAGTTCTTACATGGTGTAGGAATTTTCTCTGCAAAATCCTTTTCCAGTTAGTTATCTCCAGCACTATTAACATTCCCAGTGACTAGATTCAGCCCCAGCCCTCCCCTGCTTTTGAGGCGAGCTCTTGCTCTCTCTCTCTGCAGCTGATCTTGAGCTGAGCACTCTCCAGCCTCAACCTCCCCAGTGCTAGATTACAGGCTTGCTCCACTGTGCCTGCCTTCTATTCATTCTGCTCCACTTTTTGATAGCTGTGATCATAAAAAAAAAATTCTATTTTTTTTATTGAACTGAAATCCACTTTGCTATAGCTCCTAGCAACTAGTAGTAGCTTGGCTGCACGGGTCAATACAAAAGTGGCTGAATTCATTTGCCAAGACAGTTCTGCAGGGACATGCATTTAACTGTGTTGTTTTCTTGGAAATTTGTTCTTTTTCACGGAAGAACCGCTCTTGTTCTTAGCTGTTACAGGACAATGGCACTTAGGTGTTCGAATGCAAGTGTGCATATTTTAACCACCTTTTTCTCAAATTCCAAAATGACCTTTTGAAATGTGACGAAAAGGTAAGAAATTGAATAACATGCACCAGGTGTCACTCAGTGGAGCATGGAGTGGGGGCTGATATATTGATGCATAAAAGCCCAACTGATTGTAAAAGAGGATTCATAGTTTGAATCTACTTTTATAAAAAAGTAACGGCAAAGACTTACAGTGTATATTAATATGTAGAAATGGAGACAATGTTCATTTTTGAGTGATGGGACTGTGGGTTGTTTATTTTTTATCTGTGCTTTCATAGATTGTGTAATGAAGATAGGTGGCATTATTAAAATATGGTACAATTAAATGATTACCCCTGCATTACTGCTCTAAGACCCTGCTATAGGTCAAGATTTTCTGAGCCATAAAATTGGTGTTGGCTCATATTATTAATGAGAACTTCCAAGTATTTTTCCTTTTAAAAACCCGTGAAGCCATAATTCCCCCATCTGGTATCCGTGAAAGTGTTGGTTGAACCTAAGATATCCTTATTGCATTTCATCTTGTTTTACCCTGTATTTGCAGCCTATGCTTGTCTTTTTGACTCTGGAGTCTGTTTATCAGAGTATTAACTTCCCATTCTGCATCAGCTGTAGATAAACACAACTTTATAACT